GAGTAGGGGGTTTAGGGTCTTGGGGCATCGGGGGTAGAGTCTAGACCCTAAGCCCTAAGCCCTAGAGCTTAGAGATACCATAAGTGTACTGACCCTTCAGGCCCCAAGTTCCCCCTATTGGCTGTAACCGGTTTCGACCCAATTAATCCTGCAAAGGCTGACTTCACATAGTTCTTGGACCTTGTACCTTAACCCCAAAAATGGTCCTAAGTACCTATATGGTAGCATGCAGGGTTCCTATAATAGGACCTGCTATCATAGTTTGGGTAAGTATCCCCCATATAGGTACTTAGGACCCTGTGGGACCATGAAGCTTGAAACCCGAAAACCCTGCACCCTAAACATCCCTGAGCCCTAAAATCCGATACTTAAACCACTAGGAGAATCCAAAACCCTAAACCATGCAAGATGGATACCCTCGACCCGAGGTTTCAGAAATCCACAAGCAAGCGCGTTCTATGGCTGCTGTATTATGTCTGAAGGCAGGATGAACAACTTCAAAACACATCGAAGGGATCATGACAATCTTGAACCCACAAAAGCACCGAAACCCTGCAGCAAAGAGTTGAGCGTCCAGGGATTGAGGATAAAATCCGAAATACATGAAGCTGTAAATACATACAGCTGAAGTGACTTCTGCCCGCTGGCCCGATTGAGCCGGTTCGGAAACAGACCCTGCATTGAAAAGTGGTCTTCCGGGTGGTCCACAAACTCCACGGTGTCTTCGCTTGCTTCTGCGGGCTGATGTAAGGGTCTTAGTAATTTGGCAGACTAGTATATTAGTATATTCGTATTTCGGTACATTGGTATAGTGTATTAGTATACAGTATAATTGTAGCTTAGTATATTCACATATTCGTATCTTTTTCGTATGTTAGTATATTAGTATATTCGCATGTTCGTATATTGCGGCCTTAGTGATTACACTAGGGTTTCGGGGCATCATCAGGCTCAAACTTGGACGGCTTTGTTGGGGTCTCAAAGGAAGAGGTACTACTTTATCCGACCGCCATGTTAGGCTTTTGGGGTTTAGGGGTTTAGGGTTTAGGGTTTGGGGGTTTAGGGTTTTGGGATTTAGGGTTTAGGGTTTGGGGTTTAGGGTTTAGGGTTTAGGGTTTGGGGTGGGTTGGTGGAGAGTTCACAGCTTCATAGGGTTTCTAAACCCTACATAAGCCAGGAAGTTCAGCAAGCCACTGGGAACGTTCATTTCTGCTTTGGGCTAAGCCTGTTGTGATGGTAGGCCAGAAATAGCAAAGTAACCAAGTTTTGCCCTAGACCCTAAACCCCTCAAATATAAACCCCTAAACTTTAAACCTATACACTCTAAACCCTTAAACACCCTAAACACCTAAACCCTGAACCCCTGAACCCTAAACCCCTAAACCCTGAATAAACACCTAAACCCCTAAACCCCTAAACCCCTAAACCCTTTCACAACCCTAAACCAATAAGCAGCCCCAACCCGGGGAGGGTTTCGGCGACTTGGCCCTTACCTTACTGGTGCTAAGGGACAGAGGAGGACAGCCATTTAGACTTTAGGGTTTAGGGTTTAGGGTGTAGGTAGTTCTCTGAACTAGGGTCCCTTTTTAGGTCCCCAGTATAGTACAGCACCCTTATGAAAAAAGGACCCTCAAGGGAACCCTAATTTTGCGAATTCCCCAGAAATAGACGATAATCGGGATCTAGTCTCCCACTCCCGAAATCCTAAGCCCTAAACCCCCTTTCGCACTGCTAGGTTACTGGTCGTAGCCCTGCTTTGAGATGTCGACCCTCTCCGCTCAAATCGGAGTGAGGGGCTCTAGGGCTTAGGATGCTTCAGGGCTTGTATAGGGTTTAGGGTTTAGGGTTTAGGGTTTAGGGTTTAGGGTCCCTCAACCCTTAACCCAAAACCGCCCAAAACCCCAAAACCCTGAATCCCTAAACCCCTAAACCCTAAACCCCTAAACCCCTGACTGCTTGCATAAACCCCTAAACCCCTAAACCCTAAACGCCTAAACCCCTAAACCCTAAACCCTAAACCCCTGAACCCTAAACTTAAACCCTAAACTCCTAAACCCTAAACCCCTACACCCCTAAACCCTAAACGCCTAAACTTACACCCTAAACCCTAAACTTACACCCTAAACCCTAAACCCTAAACTTGTAGTCATGAGGGCTCCCGGGTTTAGGGTTGGAGAGGTCGGGTTGTGGTTTTCGCCGCGCTGGAAGTTACCCTAAGGGCACAAAGGACCCAAGCATAAGGGGTTCTATAAGGGTTCTATAAGGGATCTTTAAGGGTTTTGTAGGGTTTGGAAACAAGCTTTTAAGGGTCCACGCGACCCAACAATAAAGTAATTTGGTTGCGGATAGTAGCAATCTAGGATAATATTTAGGAGAGAATCTGATTATTCGGTACTTTGGACCCTTAGGGTTAGGGTCTGGGCAGATAGTACAGCTATTCTTATGCAAGGGCCGTGCACCCCCTATCTCCCCAAAGTAAAACGCACAACTACAAGCTGTTGATGCACTAGAACAGACGACATCCTCTAAACCCCAAACTATAAACCCTACAGCGTGTTAGGTGCTGTGGACGACTAAGGCTCTGGTGGCCTTGTGGTGCCCGGCCTATAGGCCGGCAAATCAACATGGAAGCAGCCTTACTTGCGACTTCTCTCTGTGAAAAGATGGCTTTGTCTCTTTGTATTCGGGTTAGCATTACACCGTAAACCCTAAACTCTCAACCTTTAGTTGTGTAGGGGTATTGTATAGAGCTCATAGTGAGGATCCAGGGGGTCTCGTGACTTCTGCTATTTCTGATGAGTGTACAAAGCGCGCTGTTGAGAATGTTGGGTTTAGGGTTTAGGGTTGAGTAGCATTCCTTAGGCTTCTTTGTTGTTGCTAGAATGGAATATACCCTCAAACCCTACTCAATACCAAACAAGTCATCGACACAACAACTTATAGAACCCTGAAGCCTCTTTGCAATTCTCAAGGCACCTAGATTGTTGAAAGGTTGTTGATCGCTCACGCAGGCACGCAGGCCCCAGCGCGAGCACAGGCGAGGTGCTTGTGAATGGAAACTACAATGCTTTGGGGGATGAGGTATTTTGGGTTTAGGGCCTAGGGTTTAGGGTTTTAGGGTTCAGGGTTTAGGGTTTTCGGTTGCATGTCGCCGTCCAAATGAACTTCACAAGCAAGGATGCTATCCATCACCACAGCCACGGTGCGTGACAAAACTTTGCGGAGGTTGCTCCTTCGGAGGGATATCGCCCATCCTCAAACCCTAAACGCTGAGCCCCAAAACCCTGATTCAGTGATAAAGGCATTAGCGAATTTACTCCTAAACCCTTGGAGCAACCCCTGCTCTCAACAAGTGCTAGTGGATTGTCTGATTCGCATAGGGAGGCAAATCCACGCTTTTGTCCACTTCGATCAGGTTGGACAACGTGAACAACCAGGCGACATTTAACTTATACTCTTCAGCCAGCCGACAATTCTTTTAGACGTAAGGAGAACCAATCGTTGAGGCTCCCTAACCCCTGCCCGCAACCAAATCGTGTCAAATCATCAGACGAAACTTGCTTACTTGCGAAAATCTTTGCCGCTCGTTGCTGTCCATCCCTGCTACACAGAAACAGCTGCATGTTCATGGAGAGTTATCGTACGGGACGCCGTAGGCGGGGGAAAACGAAGCAGTCGGTGCTCAGATTACTCTGTCACACTCTGCCGAAACGACAGTACAGGACATGAGTCCGCAAGTCCTAGGGAGATCATTGGCTTCGAAAGGTCCAAATGTCCCAATGATGTCTTGCTTAAACTGTGTTGCGGCTGGCTTCAAGATAGTGGAACTGTACTAGAAAAGCTGCAACAATTACCAATACTGTTCTGCGGGGTCCTTATTAGAACTGTAGTATATCATACCCCCAAACCTCATCGTAATTACTCAAGCCTCTACTACATTAGGTGTGCGTTTGAGGGGCAGTGTATGACTATCCCCTTACTGTTCACATTTTCTAACTATTAAGACCTCGACATTAGGTTTGTATTTAGGGAAAGTGTATGAGTAGCCCCTAAACCCTGGACACCAAACTCCGTAGAAATCCTAAACCCCTAACCCCTAAACCCTAAACTATAAACCTCTAAACCGCTAAATCCCGAAACCCTAAACCCTATATAAACTCTAAACCCCCTAAGCCCTTAACCCTTAAATCCGAAAACCCTAAACCCTAAACTCTAAACCTCTAAATCCCTAAATCCCGGAACCCTAAACCCTAAACCCTAAACCCAAAACCATTATAACTCCTACATCCGACAACCCTAAACTCTAAACCCCTCCGGTCAGGATGGACCTTTGGACCATGAGGTTTCAGAACAGGGGGAAATCTCCCAGAGGCTCCAAAACTGCTTTAGGCTTAGGGTTTAGGGGTTTAGGGGTTTAGGGGTTAGGAGTTTAGGGGTTTAGGGGTTTAGGGTATTTTCAATACAAATATAAATATTAGTATATATGTATATACATATAAGGCCATCAAGTTTAAAGTTCTCCCATTCGCTATCTGAATAGATACGGAATATGCCTTAAATCATACTAGGGGTTCCTACTCTAACTCACGGTAAATTCCTCCTAAACCGTAAACCCTAATGCCCTAAACACTGTTCCTTAATTCTGTAGGGTTTTGCAGTCTCTGAGCTCTCACAAGCGAAAAAGCCAGGTGTCGAAGCCCGAAGCTTTCAAGAGGTCTAGCAGGTACGCTTCGTCGTTGGGTAAAGACCTCTCTTCTCCAACGACCGGGCCCAACAAAGTTAGGGTTTAGGGCATCATCATTCAAGCATTCTAGCATTTTAACATAGAGACATACGGCTCAACTTCAGTTGACAACATAAGGAAACCGCAGTATCATGCTCTATAGATCCCTAGTGGCTCTTCTCCATAGCTCTCCTATCCAATAACCGGGCCCAAATAAGTTGGAGCTTTCTAAGGTAGACCCGGTATTTGGCAAAAAAACTCAAATGTCTCCCATTTGCTAGCTAAGCGACAGAGTAACCTGCCACACCCCGGTGTCTTGAATCCGTTGGGCAAGGACAGTGCCTCGATGAAGCGTTCAGGGCAAAGTTTAGGGTTCAGGGTTTACTGCCTGCGTATGCGTTCCAGACGAAGGCAATACAGGGGCCGCGGTGGTTAGACAAGGTTTGGCGTTTGGGGTTATTATAGCCAGTCCACACAGCTGAAAGCACAAAATCTGCCGAATGGACTGTGCAAGGTGCTGCTGCTGCTGTCGACACCACCTGGTTCTCTGCCAGCCCTCGCTTGTCCCCGGCCGCCTGCCTCCTCCTGTTGCAGCAGGTTTCGCGCCTGACGCCGGCAGTGCGGCGACAGCTCTTGGTAGACATTCGAGACCTGGCAGGGGACCGGAAAAGCTTTTTTGCCGAAGCTGCTACTCTGCATGACCGCTCTCAAACATCGAGCCGCGTCAGTACCTCTGCGACATGTAGCCATCATGAAGTTTAAAATGCACACTAGATGAGCCCGGTGGTGCTGGGGGTAGTGGTAGTAGTAGTCGTGGTAGTAGTAGTAGTAGTAGTAGTAGTAGTAGTAGAGTAGTAGAGTAGTAGAGTAGTAGAGTAGTAGAGTAGTAGAGTAGTAGAGTAGTAGAGTAGTAGAGTAGTAGTAGTAGTAGTAGTCGTCGTCGTCGTCGTCGTCGTAGTAATAGTAGTA